TTAATTAAATTAGGACTCCATAAAACCATAAATTGATGGTTGAAGATGCAGAGACCCACAGCCAAATCCTAGGCAGAGCCAGAGTACCTCAAGAGAAGGTTCTATAGTTTGTATAGCTTGTATAGTTTGATGTTCTTATGGGACTTCCAACAGTAAAAATGGGGTGTCCCTGACTATTTTGCCTGTGTGTGGAACTCTTTTCTTTACTGTATCATGTTAGACCATGTTTGGTGAATATCCCTGGGAGGCCTGCTTGCTCTTTTTTTTTTTATTATTATTTTAAGGGAAAAAGAGGAAGAGTTAATCTGAGGGAAAAGAGAGGACTGGAAAGGACAAGGAGTTGAGGGAGTGAAAACTTTGGCCCCTATGAAATGTATAAGAAAATAAAAGATAAAAAATGAATTTAGCAGTAAGTTTTGAGGATGATGTATACCATATAAAAATCGGTAAGGGATAATAAGGCTGATTGTGGTATTTAAATCTTAATTCCAATGTTACTGTCCTGGACCAAGTCACCCTTTATTTTAACAGAATCTATCAATACTTCATACTTCCTGATAGTAGCATTTCTTTCTCTCTTGTGAGACTGAGACACTTAGAAGAGCATTGAAATAGTGTTGAATTTTCTTCTTTGGGTCAGATCATTAAATAAAAATTAATCCATTCACTATGAGTTTTAATCTATATACTACTCTACCAAGCAGAGGTTTAAATCTTTCTGTCGTGTCAGGCCATAGTGGTAGCATTAGTGTTAGGGGAGTAACCAATCTTGCTGGATATAAAGCCCACTCTACAAGTTAAAACCTATATATCTGGGGGTAAAAACACCTAAGGCTGAGGCTGTTTGAACATAGCCTCCAGGTGAGAGCCTAGTACTGTTATTCTGATAAATGAACATAGTACTAAAGGGTCACCTACATTTTTATCTTTATAGCCATAGGCTAGTGAGTGTGAGTGTATCTCCCAGTACTCACCAGAAAAACTTCTCTGTCTCTGTCTCTGTCTCTCTCTGTCTCTCTCTCTGTCTCTCTCTGTCTCTCTCTGTCTCTCTCTCTCTCTCTCTCTCTCTCTCTCTTTGTGTGTGTGTGTGTGTGTGTGTATGTATGTATGTAATTATTACAGATTTCTGACTCTGACCAGGGAAACAGTTAAGCTACCTATAGGTTCTTTACGTTTCCCTCAGCTGCTCCAAATCTAATGCCCTGTTCTCATCTCCAGCTCTAGAGTAGACAACCAATGGTGGCCACCTTCTTCTTGTGCCCCATTTCCAGTGGATCCCTTGGGGCTCCCTTTTCTAACCTCCATTCCCCCACTGCTTGCTTTACCCCAGCCCCCAACTCCGGAAGATACTCCCTTGGAACCCACAGGCTACTCCAGCTAAGAAGTAGGTAGGCAAACTGAAAATCTTCACCTCTCCCTGCATTCCTCAAAGCCCAAACTCACAGTCTTATTCTGAGCTCTATAGAAGACATTCTGCTGTGACCTCTCCTCACTCAGTGCTCCATTACCAGGGGAATAAGTAGACCCTGGGGTAATGCCCTGCTTTGCTTCCTGCTGTGCACAAGGTCAGCACACCACCAGTTCATCCACATTCCTAAATTCAGAAGCTCCATTCCTAAGCTCAAATCCAGAAAAAAAAAATTCAGCTCGAATCCCTAGTAGACCAATCAAGATCCCAGAATAATTTCCTATCAGACAACACACAGTCACCACACTCTGGAGAACCAGAGAGGAAACTGAAACCAAAAACAAAACACCCACCCAGCCAGCAAAGACAAGACCAGATATCAACACCTACAATTACAATCTTCCAAATTCCAGATTCCTAGACACTAGCATAAAAACATAATCAATAAAAAAAATAACACAATCACTAGCAGTTGGGACAATATGTCTCCATGAGACAAACAATTCTACCACAGCAAGACAAGTATTCTAACACAGCTTAGTCACAAGAAAAGACCTTCAAAGAGCCTTTATGAATATGACAGAGATTCTTAAAGAGGTAATGAATAAACCCTTAAAGAACGCAAACACTGGAAAAACATGAATAAAACAGCTCAAGACCTGAAATGTAAATAGAGTCAATAAAGAATACTCAACTGAGGAAAATCTGAAAATAAAAAATTTAGGAACTGAACAGAAACCACAGAGGCAAGCCTTAACAGAATAATAGAAATAGCATTGAAGACATGATAGAAGAAATGGATACATTGGTCAAAGGAAATGTTAAATCTAAAATACTCCTGGCACAAAACATCCAGGAAATCTGTGACACTATGAAAAGACCAAATCTAGGAGAATTGCCATTTTTACTATGTTGATCCTCCCAATCCAAGAGCAAGGGAGATCTTTCCATTTTCTGGTGTCCTCTTCAATTTCTTTCTTCAAAGACTTAAAGTTCTTGTCAAATAGATCTTTCACTTCCTTGGTCAGAGTTACCCCAAGATATTTTATGCTATTTGTGGCTATTGTGAAAGGTGAAGCTTCTCTGAATTCCCTCTCTGCATCCTTATCCTTAGTGTATAGGAGGGCAACTGATTTTTTGGAGTTGATCTTGTATCCTGCCACATCACTAAAGGTGTTTATCAGCTGTAGGAGTTCTTTGGTAGAGTTTTTGGGGATGCTTATGTATACATCATATCATCTGCAAATAACGAAAGTTTAACTTCTTCCTTTCCAATTCGAATCCCCTTGATCCCCTTATGTTGTCTTATTGCTATTGCTAGAACTTCAAGCACTATATTGAAGAGGTATGGAGAGAGTGGACAACCTTGTCGTGTTCCTGATTTTAGTTGGATGGCTTTGAGTGTCTCTCCATTTAATTTGGAATTAGCTGTCGGTTTGCTGTAAATAGCTTTTATTATATTTAGATATGACCCTTGTATTCCTAATCTTTTGCATGCAAATGGATGGAAATAGAAAACACTATCCTGAGTGAGGTAACCCATACCCAAAAAGATGAACGTGGGATGTACTCACTCATAATTGGTTTTTAGCCATACATATAGGACATTGAGCCTACAATTCGCGATCTTAGAGAAGCTAAATAAGAAGGTGAACCCAAAGAAAAACATACAGTTATCCTCCTGGATATTGGAAGTAGACAAGATTGCTGGGCAAAAAATTGGGAACTGGGGGTGGGGGTGGGATGGGGGAAAGGGGAGATGGGGAGAGGAAAGTGAGAAAAGGAGGATGGGGGGAGCTTGGGGAAATGGGACGGTTTGAATAATGGAAGGATGGATATGGGAGCAGGGAAGTATATATCTTAATTAAGGGAGCTATTTTAGGGTTGGCAAGAGACTTGACTCTAGAGGGGTTCCCAGGGGTCCAGAGAGATGTACCCAACTAGGTCCTTGGGCAGCTGAGGAGAGAGAGTCTGAAATGGCTAGATCCTATAGCCATACTAATGAATATCTTGCATATCACCATAGAAACTTCATCTGGCGATGGATAGAGATAGAGACAGAGACCCACATTAGAGCAAGGGACTGAGCTCCCAAGGTCCAAATGAGGAACTGTTACGAGCTGGGGGACTTCAGCTCCAGGTTCTTTTCGAGTAATATCTATGAGGATTCTGTGCCCTTCTCCCCAGAGAGTGATGTTTAACCAGACCAAGCAAGAGAATTGATTTTATGATGATTCTTTACTAGCAACTTCAATATCCAATGCATCAATGGGGGTTACAATCTCAGTAGGCATGGGGGATTGATAATGGGCAACACACAGGCAATTCAATATCGCAATTATTAATCCTACTAAACCTAATACATAAAACCAATTCATAACCTTAATCTAACTTATCTTAACCTTAATACAACTCAGCCATTACTTATCTATAACCTTAATACAACTTATCCATTAATTATCTATAAAACTTAATACAACTTATCCATTAATTATCTATAAAACACTCCTTAACCTTAGCTTATCCATTATTTCCTAATCTGATCAATTATCCATAAAATATCTCTTAACATTTCACACATTAACATATGTATTAACACATCTATGCTCTTCTCTTAACATCTTATACACACATGAAATAGCATCATACGACCTGATATTCCCTGGCTTAAAAAGGGCTTTTTTGAATTTTTTCAGGCTGGGCTCTTGTCCGCACTGGGGGCTGGGTAGCGAAGATCGACTCTTGACCCTGTAGTCTGCACTCGGGAGATAAGGTCCTGATGTTCCAGGCTGGTATCTGGTAGTGCCTTGGACTCGGCTTTTGGGCGACCGAGTCTCGGGAGACAAGGCTTTTAGTTCTCCACTCTCGAAGATGAAGCTTTGCTCTCGGGATGGCAAAGCGTTCTGTCTGCTCAGAAAACAAAGCTTTGCTTTCGGGATGGCAAAGCATTCTGAAAGGCAGAGTATCTAGTCTGTTCTCGGGAGACAGACCTTCAATGTCCACTCTCATGGAATGAGGATTTGCATTCGGGATGCAAGGTGTTAAATGTCTGTTTTCGGGAGACAAAACTCTGTGCTCGGGAGACAGAGCATTAAATGTTTAGGCAAGGCATTCAGTATTGCTGCTTTTCGGGAGGCAGGCTAGGAGGATCTCTCTTTCCACGGAGGCCTGGTGCCAGAGCCATTGTGAGAAGTGAGATAACTGCCCTGCTTCAGCCACCTCTTTTATGCCAGTTCAAAATTGCCCCTCGTTTGATCCTTCCGATAACCAGGTGTCCTAGGTTATCAGTATCGACTGGCCACAGAAGGGTGGGGGAACCTCTTGTGTGGCAAGATTATTTCGTTACCACGGTTGCTGGGTGCAGCCCCCCACATCTGGCAGGGCCAGATGGGTGTGGCAGCCTTCAAACGGGCAAATGATCTCCCAATATTTCACCTTAGTAATTTTCCATACCCCACACAAGAAGAAATGCTTTTACATTACACCAAGTTACATTCATTCTTATTCTATAAATTTCCTGCTCTATCTACACTACAGATTCCCCTTTATTTATTCATTCAGAGGAATCTGTTTCCATGCTCATTACAGGAACAGAAGGAGGGAGAACATGAGCCAGGAAGTCAAGACCGCGAGGGGGGCACCCACCCACTGAGATGGTGGGGCTGATCTATTGGGAGTTCACCAAGGCCAGCTGGACTGGGACTGAAAATGCATGGGATAAAACCGGACTCTCCGAATATGGTGGACAATGAGGGCTGCTGAAAAGCCAAGGACAATGGTACTGAGTTTTGTCCCTACTGTATGTACTGGCTTTGTGGAAGTCTAGACGGTTTGGATGCTCATCTTCCTAGACCTGGATGGAGGGGGGAGGACCTTGAACTGCCCATAGGGCAGGGAACACTGACTGCTCTTTGGACTGGAGAGAGAGAGAGGAGTGGGAGGGAAAAGGTAGGCGGGGAGGAGGCAGAAATTTTTAATAAAAAAAGAAAAGAAAAGACCAAATCTAAAAATAATGGAAATAGAGAAAGAAGAAGAAACCCAGGTCAAAGGGACAGAAAATATTTTCAGTGAACTCATAACAAATATTCCTAACGTAAAGAAGATGTCTATCTAAGTACAAGAAGCATACAGAATACAAAATAGACTGAACTAATAAAAAATAACTCCCCTCACCACATAATAATCAAAACAATAAACAAAGAAAGGACATCACAAGCAAGGAGGGAAAGACCAAGTAATAGTTAATGGAAAATCTATTAGAATTACATTTAACTTCTCAATGGACACTCTAATGGCCAGAAGGACCACTAGAAATCTACATGTTTTAAGAGACCACAGATATCAATCCAGAATACTAAACCCAATAAAACATTCTATGACAATAGGATGAGAAAATAAAACATCTTATAACAAAACCAAATTTAAGTAATGGTGTAGAAGGTCCTTTTATCTTTGGGTTGCTTTAATTGTTTAATAAAGAAACTACCTTGGCCTGGTAGGGCAAAACTTAGATAAGCGAAGACAGAACTGAATTCTGGGAGAAAGAAAACAGAGTAGAGAGAGGCCATGGATGCTCCAGAGACAGACATTGGGAGTTTTACCCGATAAGTCACCGCCACATGAGAATACACAGATTAACAGAAATGAGTTAAAGTAATATAAGAGTTAGTCAATAAGAAGCTAGAGCTAACGGGCCAAGCAGTGATTTAATTAATACAGTGTCTATGTGGCTATTTCCGGTGTAAGCTATCCGGGTGACTGGGACAAACAAGCAGGCCTCTCCTTGCAACAAAGTAGTATTTATCTACAAATGTATCCATACAGAAGGCACTAAAAGGAAAATTCTAACCTAAAAGGGTTAAATACAACCAAGTAAACAAGGATTAAATAATCCCAGACAAGCAAATCAAAACAAAAGAAAACACACACACACACTCACACACACATGCACGCACATACATCATCATCAACAATAACAACAAAAACAAAGTAACAGGAACAATCACTGTTCATCAGCATCTTTTAATATCAATGGTATGTATTTCCCAATAAAAAGATACAGACTAATAGAATGAATGCAACCAGAAACACATCTTAACATTAATGATAGACATCACCTTGAGGTTAAAGGATAAAAAAAAAAATTCTAAGAAAATGGGCCTAAGAAGCAACTGTTTTGCTATCAAAACAAAACCATTCAGAAGAGATGAGGAAGTACACTAAATACTCATCAAAGGAAAATCTATAATGGGGACATTACAATTTTTAATATCTATGCCTTCAACACAAGGGTACCCATGTTTGTAAAAGAAACACTACTATAGCTTAAATTGCATATTGACCCTTATATACCAATATTGTGTGAAAAATGAGTCAAGACAGAAATTAAAGACTTTCTAGGATTGAATGAAAATAAATATACAATGTAATCAAAATTATGCGACTCAAAGTGTAAATCTATTCAGAAAGAGTAAATGGTAAGAAATAATCAAACTCAGTATTGAAATTAATAAAATAGAAAGAAATAAGAATACAAAGAGACAATGAAACAAGCTGATTATTTGAAAAAAATCAATAAGATTGACAAACCTCTGCCTAAATTAACTAGAAGGTGGAAAGAGAATATCAAAATTTTAAAAATTAGACATGAAAAGGGGAAAAAAAACAACAGACACTGAAGAAATTCAGAGAATCATAAAGACATACTTTAAAAACCTGTACTCCACCAAATTGGAAAATCTAAAATAACTGTGCAATTTTCATGATGAATACCATTTACCAAAGTTAAATCAAGACCTGATAAGAAATTTAAACAGACCTAAGAACCCCAGTGAAATAAAAGTAGTCAAAAAAAAGTCTCCCAAACAAAAAAAGCCCAAGTCTAGATAGTTTTAGCACATAATTCTACCAGACTTTCAAAGACGTGTTAATGACAATATTATATTCCTCAAATTGTTCCACAAAATAGATATTTAAGGAACATTACCCTGATACTCAAATCACAAAAGTACACAGCAAAGAACAGATATTATAAACTCATTTCCCTTATGATTATAGTTGAAAAATTCTTAATAACATACTTGCAAACTGGTTCCAAGAATGCATCAAAAAGATTGTCTATCATGGACAAGTAGGCTTCATTCCACAGTTTCAGGTTCAATACACATAAATTAATAAATGTAATCCAACCTATAAACAAACTTGGAAAAAAGACACATGATTTTGTCATTAGAGTAGTAGTAGGCCTTGACAAAATCCAACACCTAGTTATGATAAAAGTCCTGGAGTGATTACGGATGCAAGGGACATACATTACAGCAAGCCCATAGAAACATCAAATTAAATAGAGATAAACTCAAAGCAATTCCACTAAAATTAAGGATAAGACAAGGTTGCTCACTCTCTCCATACCTATTTAATATAGTTCTTGAAGTCTTAGCTAGAACATAAGATAATTGAAGGAGATCGAGTATATAAATTGGAAAGAAGGAGGCGAACATATATTTGTTTTCAGATGTTATGATAGAATGCATAAGTGACCCTAAAAATTTCACTAGGGAACTCCTACAGCTGATAAATACTTCCAACAAAGTAGCTGAATACAAAAGTAACTTACAAAAATCAGTATCTCTCCTACATACAAATGGCAAATGGACTGACAAAGAAATCAGGGAGACAACACACCTTTCACAATAACATGAAAACTCTTGGGGTATCTTTAACCAAGAAAGTGGAAGAGTTATGTGATTAAAAACTTCAAGTCTTTGAAGAAAAAAAATTGAAGAAGATATCAGGAGATGGAAAGATCTTCCATGCTCATGGATGAATAGGATTAGTATAGTAAAAATGGCCAACCTATCAAAAGCAATCTACAGATTCAATGAAACCCCCATTAAATTCCAACACAATTTTTCACAGATTTTGGAAGGTCAATTCTTAGCTTCATATGGAAAAACAGAAAAGCAAAGCCAGCTGAAACAATTCTGAACAACCAAAGAATTGCTGGAGGTCTCACCGTTCCCGATTTCAAGATATACTCCACAGGTGTAATAATAAAACCAACATGATAGTGGTACAAAAACAAGCACACCGATTAATGAAACTGATTTGAAGACCCACACCTATGGTCACCTGACTTTTGATAAAGAAGCCAGGAATAAACACTGGGGAAAAAACATCTTCAACAAATAAATGGTGCTAGTCAAACTAGATCGCTGGTGTAGAAGAATGCAAATAGAGCCATACGTATCATCCTGTGCAAAACTCATCTCCAAATGGATCAATTACCTCAGCATAAAGCCTGATCACTGAGCCTGATAGAAGAGAAAGTGGGGAATATTCTTGAACTCATTGGCACACGAGACTTTCTGAATAGAACACTGTTAGCACGGGCGCTAAGATCAGCAAATAATAAATGAGACCTAAGGAAACTGAAAAGATTCAGCAAAACAAATGACATCATCATTTCAACAATACAGTAACCTAGAGAATGGGAAAAACATTTTATCAACTCTATAATTGATAGAGAACTAATATTCAAGGTATTTAAAGAACTCAGGAAACTAGATACCTTGACTGATAACCAAGCTTCTTTTTAATGACTTCTTTTTCATTCCCAGTTTACAGCCTTCCAAAAACTGTTCACTCAGAACAACCCTATTATTACTCAACATGTACAATGAAATCTTTATTCAAAATACTCAAAACATTCATATTATACAAAATATACATATTCAAAAATATACATCTCAGCTAACCTTCAAATGTTATCTCTCTGTTTACCATGACTCTCATATTCTTGGGCAAGTCTGCGTGGCCTACAAAATCAATCACATTGCGACTTGTTTTTTCTCTTGGAATTAGTGCTGGCTTGAGAAACATGCCATGATCCTCAGATGAGCTAACATGCAAAATTATCTAGCACTGTGCCTTTTACTTAGTAGTCTATGAAGGTTCTTATCTTCCATGGTGCTCAATGTTCTTGAAAACTTATTTTTACATAGTACTTTATAGTTCACAAATACCACTAATAATGGCTTCTTATTAAATTTGTTGTTTAGTTTAATTCACAATTACTGTAGATACCAAGAAATATTGTTTCCATATTCAATACTTGAAACTATGCCTAAAGAAAATTAACGTAAGACCTGGTGTCATCCAGGACAGCTAGGGAAAGACACCTTCAAATGGTTGATACCATGTTGTGCAATAGAACTGTACTTTGATTAACATTTATATTATTAATTATAAAATTTGGCCATTTTCTGTTTTAAAATTAATTTGATAGTGTGTTCTTCCCTTTCTCTTGTTATTTAATAATTTTTTCTTATCTACTACATTCATGCAAGTAATCCATAACAGAAATCCCTTAAATTACTACGTTAGATAAAATTCATTACAGTAACTATAGCTTAAAAGGCAGCAACCCTTGTCTTATTTTTGACCAATAAATTATTTTCAAAATAGAATAGGTAATAATCCCTGCTTTCATCTAGTGTATAGCAAGTCTTAACTGAATGTTTACAGAGAAATACAGTTCATATGTATGTTACCTTTTCTGTATTAAGTAAAAGACAATTTGGCACAGAAAAATAAAGTATTTATCTTCTGGGCAGGAAAGTATGTCTTTTCACAATTCAACTCACACAGAAAACTTTAAAAAATAAACATCCTTTATTTTCATAGTTAGATTTAAGTTTTTACAGAATTATTTCTCTATCAAACTGGTAAGTTTTAACCCTCTGAAGTAATTTTAGTTCTAACAAATATCTGGATAATCTTTTTTCGTATCTCCTTGGTCTTGACAGTATAAACTATGGGGTTTAGCACAGGGGGGACAAGAAGGTAGGCATTGGCCATAAGGGCATGAGTCAGTGGTGACAAGTGCTTTCCAAAGCGATGGATGACTGATACCCCAATCAATGGCACATAGAAAATAAGTACAGCACAGATATGTGAAACGCAAGTGTTGAGAGCCTTCAGCCGGCCCTCCCCGGAGGCAATGGCCATCACCGTGCGGAGAATGAACACATAGGAGAAGAGGATGGAGAGGGAGTCAGAACCCTTGGTAAAGATGACAGCTATGAGGCCATAGAGACTGTTGACACGCGTGCTGGCGCAGGCAAGGCGCATGACATCTTGATGGAGGCAGAAGGAGTGAGAAAGGATGTTGGAGCGATAAAACGGAAGCCTCTTGATGAGGAAAGGCACAGGGAAGACCACACAGACCGCTCTTGTCAAGATGAGTATCCCTATTTTACAGACCACACCATTGGTTAAAATGGTGCCGTATCTGAGAGGACTCCAGATGGCTATAAGACGATCAATGGCCATTGCGACTAGCACTCCTGACTCGATGGCTGAGAAGGTGTGAATGAAGTACATCTGAGTAAGACAACCATCAAAAGTGATGAATTTGTAGTTAAACCAGAATATGCCGAGCATAGAGGGCAGAGTACAGAGGGTGAGCCCCATATCCGCAAACGCCAGCATACACAGAAAGTAGTACATAGGAATGTGCAGAGATGACTCGGATTTGATTGTAGAGATGATAATACCATTGCCAAAGAGAGCAGTGACATATATGGCACCCAGTGGGAATGCCATCCAGTAGTACTTCTGCTCAAGTCCGGGGATTCCAGTTAAGACAAAGTAAGGGTGCTGGAATTGGGAGTGGTTATGGTCTGCCATGAAGCCAACATACAGGCAATGAGAGGAACTTTGAGAATCCTGAGAAACTGTTTCCTAAAAATAAATGGTGGGGTTTATTGGTGTGTTACAATCTGACCTCCCTAGGAGTGCAGCCTTTTTATTTCCTCATGAGTGTGAGTGTGGAGTCGCGGAAATTACCACTCTAAGGAAGATCCTGTTTGAAGACATTTCTAATGGTCGATGGAAAAATGACTCACTCAGGTATACATCAGCCACAGTTAGCTTAAGAACACAGTACACTAATAATCTATAAAGCAAAAATTTCCCCTTTCCTATCCTTTCTTCCTCGTCAATATTGTTTATGTCGACTAATCAGCAGCTGAGGAGGTAGAACATCCTTCTTGAAAATCTTTCAACCTTAAGACACAGTTTTCTTTATTAACTGATTAGATTCAAGTTTACTAAGGAGCTGAGAAGCACACATCTTATATTCAGACCGCAGCTCCCCCTGTGCAATCTCTAAGTGAATCACACCGGTGCTATACAGTGCTCGTGACTGACCGAGGGTAATTACAGAGGTCAATTCTAATGATGGCAGTATAAACTATGAAATTTCAGTTTGTCACAATGATTGCCACTCCCACCAGCCTCCATCCTTGGACTCAGGGCTCTTAAAACACCTAGTTCATATTTGTATGTTTCTACTCAAAGCACAATGTTTCTTCATTCTTCAAAGTCTGGATATAACCACAGATTTGTCCTGCATCCAAATACTTTAGCTGCATCAAACATTAAAATGAACATATTTGTCTCTTCTAAATTGTTGAGATATTAGCAAAAGGCAGACTAAATCATGATTGTGGAAGCAACAGCAAAATCCTTTCCACAGTAAGCTATCAATACAGGATGCAGTGGGTCTCCCCTAAAGATGATATCATATTAGTTTTCTATTTCTAAGGCTTGTTTATCAAATAACACACCTTGAATGGGGAGAAGCATGATCACCTTAATGGAAATCTGTAGTTTATGCTTCTATTACCTATATCACACAAACACCGACACAGACACAGACAAAGACACAGACACAGACACACACACACACACACACACACACACACACAAATAAAGTCGTGGTATGCTTCTCAGCCAGAAGAGCCTGAGTGCCTTGTGAGAGTGAAAATTCTTATCAAACAAATGCCTGTAATACAGAGTGATGATGATAAAAGAAACTTTAAGAGGTGAACAAAGAAAAGTGGGGTAAGCAGGGTGGAAGAAAAGGAAGGGAGAAAACAGAAACTACAGAAAGTGATGCACTTAGTAATTTATTAATTGATATCATTCTTTCATTAATTTAGGAGCAAAACTTCCGTAAGAAAAAGAGGTAAGGATCTCCAACACCTTGTTGAGAATTACAGTTAAGGGCCAGGAGGAATCACAGACTCAGAAAAGGCATAGTCACTGCAGCTTCTGGCAGGTACTCTTTTGACAAGAATTTTCAAGACTTGCTATTTATCTAAATTACCTAAGATTTAGAAAACAGATGGAATGCAACTGTATTCTCTGAAGATGGTGCTGTTGGACCCATAGCTTTGTCATGGGTGGTTTGGTGGAAGAGGCACCAGGCTCTGTAAACATTCTGCACGGGCACCTTAGGCTCCACTAGTCCTTCAGGTTCATCTGCACATAGATTGAAGAAGCAGATGGAGCCACAAAAATGAACTTTAATTGTTTATGAAGTAGTAAGTAACTTCTGGGATTCTAGGCATTCCTGGGTATTGTTTGAAAATAGACCACGGTGAGGATTGAAATTAAAAGGAGAAATTTATCCTTCACTTTTCTAGATGTGGAAAGGGCAGATAAGACTGAAGAAATAAGAATAAAATAAAACCCTCCCCCATAGATTAATTATAGCCACCTCACTTGATAAAATTGTGAATGCCCACCACAAGAATAGAAATTTCCAAATATAGAAATAAGCACAACATAATCCATAGGTGACATTTATCTTCTGCCAACATTAACTCCATGGCTGAAATCCATTGTTTAAAAGTCAATGTGTTCACTCTGGAAGATGGTCTGTATCCCCCACCTATACCACTAGATTACAGAAGGTCAGTTTCACCTTTCCCTGAACGCAGATGTGAGTGAGAAAGAGAACAAGTAGATGTGAATAGGAAAGAGAATACACAGACTACGGGCTGTTCTCATTGAGAAATCAAAGCTAAGAGAGATGGTAAAGGGGACTCTCAAGGATGCTTCTGTAGAGCTATCTTAAATCTCCTTCCCATGACCAGATTTATCTTCTTGTTTTTCTCTCACACTTACCTGACTCTTGAGTGAACCCTAACTACATAAAGACGTTAAATAGCACAGTGGAAGTTCACCTGGCAAAACTTGCCATGACACCGTTAGGATTATATGTTCTGACATACACCAACAGTCTTCCCTTTACTGTGCCATGGAGACTCTTGCAGATCCCCTGGGCTTCCAAATCAGAGATCTCTCTAGGGCAACTAAACCACTCTTAGCAACTCAGATCTTTAAAAAATGAGATAATTCTGATGGCACTACTAAGAAAGCAGGTAGGGGAGTTCCAGAACCTGATTACTAACTACCCCATGACATCTTTTCATGGCCAGGGTAGGCATCTCATGATTTCCATGCAATGAACAAATGGTATTCACTTTTATTTATCCCAAAATGCATCCAAACTTTTAAAAAATTCAAAGAAAAGCACTTTTACTATTATCTTATATGAAAAAATTCCAAAGTTATGATTTTCTCATTTTTCTTATTTTTCACCTTCGTTTTTTCAGTCATTTATACCCATGTAAATCTAGTCATAAGTCATGATCCTTATAAAAGGCAAACAAGAGGACATTTGGGAAGTCATTGATCAATGCCTCCATCAATCAGGAGAGAATGAATTCTATAATATACAATTAATCACTTCAGATAATAATAACAAAAGAGTAACATAGCAACATATCACAATAAACAGTGTACTCTATAATATTATTTGTTGAATTTATTCATAGTTTAGTCATTCATATAAATGGCTCTTTATAAATTTGGTAAGTAGATTGTCCTCTTATTCATAAAAGATTGCTTAAGAAATTGGCCTTTATTTTTCCATATAAAATTGATTATTGTCCTCTCAAGATCTGTGAAGAATTTTGATGGGACCTTGATGGGAATTGCATTGAATCTATAAATTGCCTTTGGTAGAATTGCCATTTTTACTATGTTGATCCTCCCAATCCAAGAGCAAGGGAGATCCTTCCATTTTCTGATATCCTCTTCAATTTCTTTCTTCAAAGCTTTAAAGTTATTGTCAAATAGATCTTTCACTTCCTTGGTTAGAGTTACCCCAAGATATTTTATGCTGTTTGTGGCTAT